ATGCATGTTCGGCATTCTCCCTTGAGGCATTATTTATACATAGCGACGTGCACATGTTTTCCATAGTTACTCGTCTATGTTTTTTTTTCTGGGCGGTTTTTAATGTCTTTAATAGGGGTACAATGCATAGCATGTAACTTATAGTTACATAATGTAACCATTGCAGTTCTTCATTGATCACATACACATTAGTGTATGACTGTTTGTTATGGATTGTTAGTTAAAGAGATATATGCCGTATTTAGTGTTTTATTTTAAAAGAAATAAATGTATAGGTGGTGTCTCATCAAGTCGTAACGGTAAAAGTTATATACTTTCTGCAAATAAGACTATTCCACTCCATCACTTTTAAAAGTTATGAAATATTATTAGGTAAAAATTATTTTCTCTCCGAGACGGATAATAAACCGCCTCTTATTGAAATATTCATGATCACGTGGTTTCGCATGCTCACAGCAAACAATGGTCCAATCTCGTGAATGAACCGAAAAGCATAATGGTCTACTACGTTTTTACTACAAACACGTGAGTTAGGGATTGTTAATACGTGAGCACACCTCAGAGTTGGTTGCTTTTTGTACCGAGGAATAATCACGTGCAATTGTCTTTTCACTAGCAGTACAGCACGGTGAAACTCGAAACAAACGGACCTGTACAATGGAGTGGGGAAAACTTTAATCTTTATCATTGTTAATCATTTGTAGGCAAATATGAACATGGGATTAGTAGATAATAAATGTACATAATGTATTAAGCATGTAAATGCTTGGGAAAATGCATCAAGTCTTTCCGAGAGCGATTTTAAAAAACTAGCCTTTTCGAAAAACACATGTAGAATTTTATGTAGTAACCCATAAATGCATTAAATGCAACTCATTGAGCTGATTGGTATATTTGTCAGTCATATTGGTTCCTCACTGATCAGACGTCACAAAAATATTTTCCTCGACCTGATTTTTCTCGCGATGCTTTTCCCGCGCACACGCGCAGATCCAGGATAAACGGTCAGTCCTTTATAAATATGCATGAGAATATCGTGTTCTTTTCCGGACCAGTACTTTTTTAATACCGAATAATATTTCGTCGAATTTTCAAGAATGCTTCAATTTTTGATAGCTTATCATAATTCAGAAATTTTTGTTCGGTTTCAGCTGTGCAAAAATACTGCTTAACACGGCACACATATCTTTAAGCTTACATTAAGTGTTTTATTATTTGTCTATTTTGAGGCAAAGTCTGTCAAATAATGTGTGAAGAATATACTTATATAAAGCTGCTACAATAAGGAAAACATATTTGAAAAATAAGCCAACTTTACACATATTATGTAATTTTGAATGTTTGATATGAGGAATATCATTTAAAATTGATCACATTAAAGCAAACACGTTCTTTCATGTAATACTAGCCTAAGTACTTTGCATTTCTTATTATTATTTTCACACTGCATGTGAAAAAAATATCACTTATATTCAATGGACGAAATATATTGCAAGAATTCCACTGTTGACAATGATGTATGTATTGTCTTAATTCATGAAAACAAGAAATGCTTTGTTAAAAGAGGATTTAGTGGAGTTGTAAGTTTTGTCAAAACTCAGCATTTTTTTTTGTTAATATTTAGTAGAACTACGATTGTATAAAGATAAAAAAAAATATTTCGAGTTAATTTTCTGATGTAAAAACCTGGAAATCCATGTGCTTACAGGGCTTCGCTATAAATGGTTTATCGAGTCACTGAGATTTTTTTTATATACATATAATAAAATAATTCCATGGTCATACATGCATAGTCAGGGAGATTTTGCTATAATTTATAAAACTGATTCCTGGACTAAATCCGTTATTTTGCGTAAACGGGGGAGAAGGGATGTTGGCAGGTATAACATAATAGTGGTGCTGTGGAGCCGTAATAAAATGTAAAGGGTAAATTTAAGAAGCCGTTTTCCTTATGTATATATAGTGAAGCAAAAAAATGTCTTTTGAACACATCCACCTCATTCCTTTAAAAAAACGTAAACCCCACCAACAGCGCATAGAAATAGATTATTTATAAACGTTTGGGAAATGATATAACATGTTTTTTTTTCTTTTTTATTTTCATTTGTTATTGCTTATTAAGGAATTTCTGGATTGGAAATTTTTGGACTAAGGATAACCCTTTCCCACATTGAGAAATCCCTGAATCCGCGCCGGAATAAATAAATAAATAAACATGTCCAACCATCTTCCAAACTTAAATTTATAAATATGTCCCCATTTCTGTTCCTTGTGTATGAGGGACTGAGTAAAGGTCCCCAATTCTGTAAGCTTATGAGAAGTTGGGTCCCCTACCTTTACACAGAGGTCCCCATATTGGCACTTCCGGGTCCCCATTTTCTAAATTTATGAATATATCATTCTTTTTTATTCTAGCTCAAAGACTCAGTTTATTTACTTATTCCAGGATACTTACGGGGTAAAATAAGTTAAACAATACCAATTCTGCCACGAAATCGCTTAGTCCCCATTTTAAGATTTTTTGGCAGGGTCCCCAGATCGAAGTCCAAACACGTATGGGTGTGTGTGTGTGTGTGTTTTTGTTTTTTGTTATACTCTGCTTGAAAAGCAGGAGGGTATATAGTAATTGGTATATCCGTCTGTACATCCACCTGTTACACTTTGGGGTACCCATCTCTTATCCGCATCATACCACTGAATGAAATTTTATGAGACTTTCACAGAATCTTTATTACATATTGCCATTGTAACCTCCTATTTTACTTTTTGATCTGACACATTAGTTTGGGTTTCCCACAGCAAACATGGACAATACCATTATATTCTTATGGGAGGCGGGGGCATCATTTAGTGAGCTCATTGCTCACAGTACCTCTAGTTTGTTTTTTTTTTTTTTTTTTTTTTTTTGACACATAAATTTTATCTTAGATATACATCTACATGTACAATATTATGTATAATACTAAATGGGGAACTGCAGGCAGTTGGGATTGTTGTCCATAACTGCATACAGTGTTCTACCTATGAGACGTATGTCTCTTGGTTTAAATAAAATCTTATATCTACTGTAGTATAGATCATTAGATCTTAAATACTGCAATTATATAAATATATATGACATATCCGTTGAAAAAACAAAACAAAACATTTTTGTAGGATGAAACAAAGTGATATCAATAATTAAGGCTATGATTAAAAATATTATCCTGTATGAAACGGTATTCATTGATTTTAAATACTAGTTTTTAATGTCTCTCGTCATGAGTGTTTACATAGGGAGAAACGCTATGCGACTACATTAATGTCCGATTCGCACGAATTTTGAATGAAAGTAATGGCAATTTATTGTTATTTAATAATTTCAGTAATAAAGAATTTTGATTTTCTTACGTGTATGGATCTTTGCTACAGAATAAAAACAATAAACGTCAGATTGAACGACCCTCTGGACTGATGTATTACATGTAGCCATTTTGTTTCTACTGACGCGATGGCATGTTTACGCCGATTGACCTTTGACCTAAAATGGCGACGGTAAGGTGAAAGTCGACTATGCAAAAAAAAAAGTTGTTAGGTTTTTGACTTTTAAATAGTGCATGTCTCATTAAAGATGCACTGCAACACAAATGAATAAATCTGTTTTGATTTCTTGTGTCAGTTTACCTGTTTATCTGGACTTTGTTTCAGATCCTGATCGGTGACAGGTGACCTTCTCGTTAGTCGAAGCAGACGACAGGATATTTTTTTGACTGCCGAACCCGATTAAATAAAATTGAGCGTGTGACTTTTTAATCGAACTCTGTACGCAATAAAATTTTTAATAAAAATCAAAATAAAGCTTTTCAAGAATCAATTATTAAAAGAAAAAAAAATTAAATGTATTGTATTTGATTTAACAGCTAAATTTTCACTGCTACTTACTTAATTGTTAAGATATTAGAGCTTATACATGTAAGTTATAAACTCAAATTATCTTATGTTACCCCCGCCCTAATTTTGCCGCTATATACCGGTAGTATACAACAGAAAATATTGCTACTATGTGCTCGTGCACCATTTTATGCTTGTGAAGGATTTTGTGATACCCCCCCCCCCCCCCCGCACTGAAAATATATGGTTGAGCGTGCACCGCCATATTGAACTTGGAAAAAAATTGCTTAATACGGATCCGTTTTAAAATTCATAATTTCAGCCATCATGCTAGAGCTTCTTCGAATATTATCCACTGCAGATAGATATATATTGAGCTACCACAGTTTGATCTAACTTGAATCTCCGATAGACTCGATCTCCGATACCTCATTTCTTATATATATCGTAAACTAAGAATAAGTGACATAGATAAAACAGTACAAAAATAATGATCTATACCTTAAAACTTGCCTGACCAAAATAAATGATTATTTAACAGTTATTTGCATCATGTCTTGTTCATTTTGTTTCTGAGACCGCTATATATTTTTTTTTCTATTTCACATAACAAATGTGATCGATTGCACAATAAATACTTTATTACTTAACCACTTATTTGAAAATCCTCCGTATTGCTTATCGTCAAGGTTTGTAACGTAATCGTTGTGAAATAAGGGGATATTAATATACATGAGAAAATGGTATACACAGAAAAACGTTTTGTTTTTGGTTATAAAGTTAATGTAACTAAAATATTTTTGCTTAAATGACACCCAATTACTTTATAAAATAAACAAGCTTTACATGCAAGAGAGAGAGAGAGAGAGAGAGAGAGAGAGAGAGAGAGAGAGAGAGAGAGAGAGAGAGAGAGAGAGAGAGATTCACATTTTTTTTATGTACAGTGATGCATGAAAAGGAGTAAATATGTATACAGTAGATTCAAAATAAAACCATGATGACAATGTGGGTTGTTTACGTGATTAATAATATCCTAATCAGGTCGTATGAGTCTATGATATTTAATTGTAAACAGCTATATCGAGGTGACATGTAGGATTATAGAAAGTCTTCTCCGGAAGTAATTCATAGTCTCAAACATTTTATGTAAGAGAAACCGGATCTTCTATTAATGATTACATGTTGATGATGTGTGTTGATGTCTATTTGTAATGTAGATAAGATTTGTTTAACACTTTTTTCCCGTTTGTTCTTTTTGTACAAACTGGAAATATGTTGATTTCGCGTGAGGATATATTACTTCTACTAATGATTTATACAATAGGTAAGTGGTTTTGTATGATCCGTGTTATCAGGAGTGATAAAATCATATTTAACGTTTAATAACAACCATTACGTAAAGTCTATGGTATATTCAATCGAGATTTTTAAAAAGGGGAAAATACAATTAAATATTAATGGAATTTCGAGAGGCCCATGGACATACATGTATTATTCATTCTTTGAGGATAAAAAAAATAATATCATATAAAAGTGACAAAGAAATAAATAAGATGAAATATTATATACATGTAGAATGATTCTCACCTATTACACTGTATTATATGAAGTAAAATTATGGAAAAAAAACTACATGTAACAACATAATCATTCAAGATATTATTGATACATGTAGTCATTTCAAAAGGCTTGAAAGGGGGGGGGGGATGTCAACAAATTATCCATCAGATATAACTTAATTTTTCAGATATGATGTCTTAGTTAAGTTGTCAACAATGAAGAAAAATTTCAAACAGTTTGATCAGTTTTGTATATCTTTACATGGGACTCGTCTTCTAAATATGCCCAAAAACTTATCCAGCCCTCTTAAAATAAGGATCATATATTCCCTTAATTTTTCCAGACAAAATCCATGGAAAAAATGAAATAAAAATATCCACACCAAACACGTACAACTACATGTACTTGACCGAGTACGGAATTCCCGTTACGAACTCGACGTCCTTGACCTTCCAAGTTCAGGCTTGTAATGACGCTCACGTGGCCTTGAGGTCTGCCGGCAGACAACCACTGGAGATAGTCCTCGGGGGATGGAGCAACTCACGTTCTTGTTTCCGGACAAGTGTTCAAGGGTCATGCCGGACGGAGCATAGTGGAAAGATTCTGGATTGCCAAAACTTTCAGACGTTTAGGGTCAGCTGGGGTAACCAAGAGATAAATGTCGGGAAGGAGGACTCTGGGATTGGTGACACTATTCTCAGTTTTAGTCTTGGGCAACCACTTTCTGATGTAGAGATAGGAATCTCCACAGGATTCGGGGCTTCGGGATTATGGATTTTTGAAGGTTCCTTTTACATAAGTTTGCTAGAAATTATGCTTAGTTAACGTATATATCAAACGTTCAATCCTGCTAGATCTTTGTGTAAAAACCATGTAAACTGTTCAGATAACATTTATTTTAATCAAAGCCCGTGCTATCAAGATAAAGAAACTGATCCCAATAATTGGCCAAAAATATAATATATGATAAATAATGTACATATCAATGGTCATCTTTATCACTGTTTATATGAAGAATTTTTTATGAAGAAATTTATGCTATGAAAACTGTTTTATGTATGAAAGAAAAAATATTTAAGCTTAAATGGATTTAAAAGTTTTCCTATATTTTTGTTTTCGTTTTATTTTGTTAGGTGTTTTTTTCTTAATTAGAGCCTCCCCACCCTCGAATAGTCTTACATTTCCCCAGTACATGTATATATCAGTGGATTAATACCTACACGAATAAATGTTTATTTTTTTTCAGACCCAAGGGCGACGACAGAAAGTTCTACAACGACAACAACAACAGAAGACCCATTGTCATCAAGTAATTCAATTTAGTTACATTCATTCATCCTTTATTTCCCTCATTAGAGGATTATGCAAAAACATGAATTCAAAAATATGCAATCAAGGACAAATACAAAATAAGGTTAGCATACAACATGACAATATATACAATGAAGACAATGAAGACAATGCATGCAAATAAATAGCAAAACGAGCAAAATAGAAAAAAAAAGATATAGGAAAATAAATGAAAAGATTACATGTCAAAAAAAAAAAAATAAAATAAATAAATAAATATGGAAATAAAATTGCTATATTCACAAACTTGTAAACTGAAGGCCACTAAGAATTGTGTGTGTGTATGTTGTCTGCTGGCAATTTGCTAGAGAATTTGAAGGGCTCGGTTGTACCACGAGGCAACATTTCTTATGAAACGAAAATTGTTCATTTTAAACAGTCGGACATCTTCTTCAGATAGCAAGTGAACGGAATCGCGTCCAAGAAGGAGAGCAAATATTTCGTCATCTGCCATTGCACAGATTTCTGCAGAGAGATGGACGTCAAAGTGGTTAGAAATGTCTTCCCACCAGCAATTACGTAGAGTTGCAGTTAGCGAGCAAGAGCAGGTGATATGCATGAATATATCTAGAAAGATTTTGCCACAAAATCTGCAGATGTCTGGAGTCTGATCAGGAGGACTGGATATGAGTTTACAAATAAATTTACACAACTGGATTTCATAAGAGTTGGAAGGAACTGTCCATATAAAAGAGGGGCTCTGATTTTGGGTTATAGACAAGAAGCGGTGAAAATCAATGTCGTTCAGCATTCTATTGTTCCGTTGTGTTTTACAATGTTTTGATACTGCGGATCTCACAATCTTTTTCCAGACATGTTTCATTGGAAATGAACCATTTGTGAGCCAAGTGTGCAAGTATTCGGTAAGATCATAAACGGATAAAACTGAGAAAACATCAGGTATTGTGGATATGTCTTCCAAAAATGAATATAAACGTGTCAAAAAGACTTTCTTAGGGAGAGAACGGTGATCCATGCGACAAAGTCGCCCGAGAAAAAGCAGTTTACGGACATCTATTTCGGATTTGATAGGTAGAACATTGAAAGTACTTTCACAGATGTCGGATCTTGTCTTTGTGGGGAGATTCTGAGCATTTTTACAAACGAAATGTTGAAAAACATTCAGGCGTTGATAATCACTTGTAGAAAGGTTGTTCCATAGTTCGCAACCGTAGAGGACTGTGGGTAGCACAACTGTCTTATACAGATGAGATAAAGTGAGCGGATTAAGGTAGATCGATCCAATGTCGTTCAGCGCATAATATGATTTCTGTCCTTTGCGACACGCTGAAAGAATCCTATGCGAGAGGTTAAGCTTGTTGTTAATGATTATCCCTAGATGGTTATAAGTTTGGAAACAAGGGATTGTGATTTCACCTAGTTTCCAAGTACAGTCTGGATCTAATTTGGCGCCTTTAGAACGGATCTGTAGTATGGATGATTTTTGAGCATTAAATGAAAAGCGCCACTTTCTAGAATATTCGTGTGATATATTCAGCATATTTTGTAAGGCAGCTGGGGTTATTCCAATACATGCAATATCATCTGCTAATGTAGGACAATTACTAGTTATCCCCAAAATGCCGGTATTTATGCTAGACTTTTCCAGGTTGATAACAAGTTCATTGATGTACATTAGATATAAAAAAGATGACAAAACTCCACCTTGTCGCACTCCTTGTAAAACTGGAAACCATTTGGACTGTTTTTGGTTAACGACGATTGCACTAGATGTATCAGTGTGACAGTCATTCATGACTGACCAGAGCTTACCCGAAATACCTAGTTCGTATAGTTTAACAAGGAGGCCATGTCTCCATACCGTGTCGAAAGCTTTCGTACTATCTAGAAAGCTGATATAGACATTGCTGCCTTGCTCGATATTATGAAAAATTGTTTCTTGTGTGTTAAACGAGGCGGTTAAGCAACCAAGTTGTTTTTGGAATCCTTGTTGTTGTTTGCAGGGAAAATGGTCAGGATTGATGATATGATCTCGAATTCTCGAATGTATTACATTTTCAAAAATTTTAAGGTAGCATGATAGTAAAGCAACAGGCCTATAGCTAGCACAAGATGTTTTTGGTTTGTCTCCACCTTTATATAGAGGCACGATGAATCCTTGTTTCCAGAATTCTGGTATTTTCCCAAGGTGTATAATCGAGTTGAAGAGTTTCGCGATACATTGAATCACGTGATCGCCACCGAAAATTAGATGCTCGTAGGTAATAAGGTCTGGTCCGGGGGCTTTACGGCGTTTAAGAGTTTTTAATATTTCTGATATTTCAGTGGTAGAAACTAGGCCACCTGGAATGCCATCGGGTGATTCTAGACACTGTTGTTTGATAGTAGAGTACCTTGACTCCATTTGAGAGTAAAAGCTTTCATCAAAAGTCGAATCTTTGGATGGAGCATAAATGTCTTCAAAGTAGGTGGCAAATGCATGTGTGACACTTAGTGGATCTCGATAAGATACTCCGTTTGAAATAATTTCTGGGTATGTGCGAGAGGTTTTAACCTTCTGTCTTTTAACTAGTTTCCAGAACAAGCGTATATCACATTCTGCCGCTTCATCTAGATCTTTATATACATTTTGCATAAAATTTTCATATTGAATAGTGAGTGCGTCTGAAAATTTCCTTTTAGCGCGTTTGTAATTTCTATATGAGTCATGTGTCATGCCTCTTGGCCTTCCTTCAGATATCCAAATGCGTCGGAGGTTACGTTCAGTCGAATGTAGTTGCTTAACTTCCTTCGTCCACCCTGGTCGAGTGTGCAGATTAAACCCTGCCTGAGGAATGCATTTATTTGAGGCATTGATAATAATGTTGCAAAGTTCTTGATAAAAGCAGTTCATATCAGCAACTGAAAATATTTCAGACTCTAGCAAATTGCCAAGCTCAGGCTGCATAGATGACCTATAGCAGTCTAAAGCGTTAGAGGTCGCTTTGTGCCAAGCCGGTAATTTTAAATGCGTGGTTTGCAGACAGTGGCGAGGGTGTTCAAACTTAAATGAGACTAATATAGGTAAATGATCAGATGTATTACAAAAGTCACCTTCTCGAAAAATTCGATAGGAGAGTAATGAGTCTAACATACGTTTGTTAAACAGAACATAGTCAAGCATTGTTCTTTTAGGGACAAAAGTGTACGATTCACCTGCTGTTTGAAAATCTCTAACAGGCATACAAAGTTCACATTTGTTTACTAAGTCAATCAGCAGTTTGGATTTTGTAGCATTTGTATTAAGATGGCTTAAAATGCTACTGTTAAGGTCACCAGCTATGATAACATCACCATAAGATCTATAATAACAGTATAAACTTTCAATATAATTGAGTTCTTGAATGTATGTCTCTACATTATTATCTGCTGGGAGATATACTCCAAAAACGTACAATACATTCCCCTTAGTGTCAGTAAGTTCAACACCAATTATGCGATTTGAGTTACAACAGGGTATCTGAAGAATTTTTTATGAAGAAATTTATGCTATGAAAACTGTTTTATGTATGAAAGAAAAAATATTTAAGCTTAAATGGATTTAAAAGTTTTCCTATATTTTTGTTTTCGTTTTATTTTGTTAGGTGTTTTTTTCTTAATTAGAGCCTCCCCACCCTCGAATAGTCTTACATTTCCCCAGTACATGTATATATCAGTGGATTAATACCTACACGAATAAATGTTTATTTTTTTTCAGACCCAAGGGCGACGGCAGAAAGTTCTACAACGACAACAACAACAGAAGACCCATTGTCATCAAGTAATTCAATTTAGTTACGATATAAAAACAGAAAATTAAATACATTGTAATTTGTATCAAGTCAGAGTCGAAGACCTATTAAACATTCTAACAATTACATTAAATGCATTTCAAAGATTTCACATATTCCAATTTATCAAGAATCCGAAATCCCCATTTTATTTAGGACCTAAATTTCAAATACCCGTTTTTTGCATTTACATGCAACATCGAATATTCGGTTTCCAGAAATCTTGCATTTTAAGTATTTATACTGTATTCAACATTAAACAATAACAAAAAGGCAATTGTTTTAGCGCCGCACACATCTGGGGGGACATAAAACTTAGACAGGCTTACTTGCGATCTCGGTGTCATCTTTTTCATTTGTAAAAATGAGAGACTGGGATCAAATGTGAGCATATCTATAAGTTTTATTGCTCTTCAGCCAATATAAAACATACATTTTCCTAATCACGTTATACATGTATATTACAGCTAATCTCCAGAAGGCCCCGGTGATAGAGGGATCATCCGAGGCCGGAAGTAGTGGTGACGTCACTGTCGCGGTCACTACAGGAGTGCTATCGGTCATCGCTCTTGTCTTAGTCGGCGTCTTTATATGGAGGAGGTATCACAGACCACGAGGTTTGTATGGGACTTAAATATAAATACCCGCTAAGTACTTAAACTACATACGTATAAACCATGAATGTAAAATGGGAGGTTATTTTGACAACATGAAATTCAAAATAATGACGTCTTTAGCGTAGTTAATATTTTAATATTTGCAATGTCTAGAAGACTTAAGGTAGGATTCTTCTCTGGTTTCTGACTAGATGAAACATTCAAAGTATATTTGCTTATATGTCTTATATATTGAGGTGTAAGGAATTTAAAAGACCATATTTTTTTTCCTCATCACAATTGTTCAACTGTAAATAGAAATGGTAAACTGCCTTTGAAAACTAGCAGGGACTATATTTTTGGCGGAATGGTGGCGTATGAAAATATCTTCTTTTCTGCCTCTCAAAATTATAATAGAACAATGAATTTAGTTATAATTTTTACACAATCGAAGACTTGGAGAAATTTTGAAATGTAAGTTTAATTAATAATGAGGGACTAAACTTTCAAAATATATCAAATAAATATGATTTTTCAAACAAACTAGAACTTTGTTAGCTTTTTTAATGCTTCCTATCAAAGTGCAGATTTGAGCCAAAAATCCATAAAAAGTATTTTTTCTCTCTTAGTAAACGATTAAAACTTTTTGTTTTTGCATCATTTTGTACATTTATAAGACTACTTTATTATATGTGAAAATAAGAAAAAGTTAAATATAGGAAGCATATGAAAATAACTAATATATCCCAAAAAATGAAGAAAAACAGAGAAAATTCGGATTAGCCAAAATCCAGTTAAGTTAAATTATTTATGTAAATTTGGTAATATCATGCGATAGACCCGATATAGTAAAATGTTTTTATGCAAAAAGAACAATCATTAAACTTTTGAAATAGAAGTAGGTATCACATGATTGGCAACAGTTATTTTTTATTCTTAGTGTCAAGGAAAAAAATAATGACCTTGACCTGACCTTGCCTCTAATATAAAACGGTCAAATTTAATTTCACTGATACTATCACTTACTGATATAGTCTTCTTGATTCTGTGAAAATTTCATTAATTTTTAAATATTAGAAATATGAGAAGAATCCTACCTTAACTATTAACTTGGCATTTAGAGATCAAACTTATCCCGATTGATTATAAGTCTTATTTAAAGTTTATCGTTTTCTCTTCACTATGCTCTAAAATTTACAAACCAGTCTAACGTTTAATCACATAATATTCATTTGCAGGTCAGGGCACTAACGTAGGACTACAGAATCCGATGTTTAATGCTAAGGAAATGAACACGTACGAGATCATCCGAAGGTCACATCCGAAAGTCAACATGTATGCCGATTTAAACCCTCTGGACGTCACAAAAATTCAAGACAATGCCGTGTGTTACGACACAGCTAAACCTTTCGACGAAAATAACATGTACTTGCCCATACAGGAATATACAAAAGGAGATAATTCCAGGGGTACCCGAAATTCTCGAATCTCTCGGATGTTAAGTCATACTGATTATGACGTCATACCGGCTATGGAAGATCAAAGTTCTAAAGTGGGACAATAGAGATATGTCGTAGATGACACGCATCTGGTGCCCAGACCGTCACGCAATGAAGAAACATTAAAACTATTGATGAACATATTTTTTTTCTCATATTTGATCTTGGATTATGGCATAGCTTTAAAGAAGGATTACAACGAAGCGAGATTTGATCAAACCGATGATAAAGTGCTCATAAGAAATAAGAATTAATTTCTTACATACATTTTCCTCGACAATTTGTTTAGTTTATCAATGAATAAATTAATACTTTTTATAGGACATTGCACTGTTATTGGAAAAAACAAAATTAATGTATCTTTTAAATTATACTCATAAGCACACATCTGCGATGCATTTACAAGCTAACAAACTGTGTCGGTATTTACTCGGCAATTTCCAAGCGCCATGGAAATGCTTGCTATGAATATATTGTAAGATATTTGGGTACCAGACAAAACCATTGCTATAAGTTGGTCCAAAATTAAAAACAAGATTTTTTAAATCATTGACAACTGCTTTTTCAATAAATTGCAACTAAAATATTTACATACCTTGTCATTAGTCATTTGCAAAAATATTTTCATAAAATACTTACATTCTCTGATTGACACAAAAGTACTCTGAAGTTGATATTGAAAAGCTACTCGATTTATTCATTGACAATATGGAGACAATGTCCTCAAACAATTTGTCGGAATTCCAATGTGTATTGATTGCGCCCCGTTATTCCGTAAGTAACAGACCTTTTGTTATAAAATGAAGCAAAATTAATTCAAAATCTAAAACGGTTAAAGAAGGAAACACTTGATGACCAACATACCCCAACCTCTCCCCATGGGGTCATGGTATTTAGAACAAGCATTAATTTACTAAAGATTGCCTACAATAAAATGTGAATTATGACTTAGGTGTTTCTTAGAAAAAGAATTTTTAATATCTTATTGTTTCATGGACTTTTGATCTTGAATACTGTTCGTTATCTCCATATGTTTCATTCCTACATTTATACATACGTATTCCTCGTATGTAAAATTTTGATTTTTCCATAGTGGCACTATCTTTCCCCTTAGAGTCATGATTTGAAAAAAAAAATGAATCATTACTATCTGATGATGATTCCATACAAATTTGATTATGATTTTTGATCTCGGCTCTATTCGTCTAAACTTAAACTTTTTACCCATGTTTCTGCCGAATCATATGGCAGTGTGACACAGAGTCACTGGGGAAAGCCTGTTGGAACAAAGATCGTCTCGATCTAAACGAGTTGAATGTTACTTCTTGCCCTCTTCAACTTTTCGACTTTGATTCCTTTTACTTCTATTATTTACCGTCGTTTTACTATAATTTGCTATAGAATGAAACATAGTACCAAGTACCGGTAATTGAGGCAGACTAATTATTAATTGTGACCTTGACGGGAACTCTTCTGTTCTTCAGCGTCGGAGGTCTCAGCAAATATATCAAAGCTACTGTATGAAAAATCAACAATTTCAATATGGGTAGCATTGAATCCTTTAAAAGATAAGGCACGAACGCTTTTTGTGAGAAAGAGTTATAAAAGGGCGTTTAAAGTGAGAAATTGAAGCGGGCAGGGAATTCATTTCATTCAGTTTAATTCTGACAGGATTCCCGAATCAATTTGTGTTGCAATGGTCTGGAGTTTAGAGACGTCCATACATAATATTTAGTCTCGACGAATTTTGCTGAGATTAATAAATTTGCTGATAAGTAATATCAAGACTTTTCATACGTAAAACTTGGAGCTCCTATATGTTGGTAACAGTTCATATTATTCTCATCATTAACAAGATAAATGACTAAATATTCTTTTAATTGTGAACGGTATGATCACTTTCTTTAAAATGGAACAGACTTCCTCCAAGAAAATTTACAGACACATTTCACGCGCAGATTTATCAAACAGAAACTATTTATGGCATGGTTGATCAGATATTTTATTATAAAAAAAAAAAACTCAAGCTCATGAGTATCTCATTTGTAACACAAATAAAATAAATTTCGTACGTGCTTTGTACGAACTAAAAGGAATAAATCTGTGGTATTGATAAAATAATTCACATGTAAAATATAAAGAAGAAAATCAAATTTGGAATGGAAGAGCTCTGACTCCACACCATCATCTGTTCACGTTCAGTGATTTGTGTACCGGTATGTCATTTGTACACAATTGTTTTTTTCAGGCGTACTTTAGATTAAGCATGCATCTATCGACTCGATTGTGAATTGGTGGTTAACCTTAGGATCATTTTCACTTTTGACAGGTCTACCAAGTGCATGATATTCCAAACTTGGTCCTTGCATATATTGTATTGATAAATTGTTTATTGTAGTGGGAATCCTGTTGTAATTGCAAGTAGCCACTTCGACCTGACGCGCAATAAAAAAGTATAACAACACAGAATGTGAAAACATCTCCAGTGTATATTTGATATGGAAAAAATACACTTCTATATGAAAATGAAAATTTATAAAAGAATTCACAATTTTAGTACTAAATGCATTTTATTATAATTATTGTTTGCCAACAATACACAGGTATTTTTTTATGTTGAACACACCAAACAAAACATATGTTTTTGTAAAACACTAATCTCCCCCTATGGCAGGTCATGGTAAAGGTCAAGGGATCAAAATGTTGAATTATAATTCCGAAAAGGCATAGACTTATAAGTCCTAACGGAAACCAATCTATAGTCATGGGATAGGCAAAGTTTTTCGCAAACAATCAATTAAGCAGACAAACGGACTGGCCAAAACTATTTTATGTAAAACAGTAGTTAAATAAATATGCATTGTAAACATTTAAACTGTACTTTCTGTTTGTATTGTCTTTTTCGCCCGTAAGCATTTTAACACTTGTCCATAATCAAGACCAAATGATGTTAAATTTTCTTCGTCTAGTTCAAAAAATGTTTGAAGACAGTCAATTTTATTTCTGTATAAAACCTTTTTACAATCCTGCAGATTACGCCTTTTCAAGAAAAACGTAAACGTTTTTGCGTCAAACCCTGAAACAGATCCATACATGAATATAAATTAAGTGATTTGCTAGATACTCAACGTTACAAACGATGATCGAACTGCAATGCAACATTTTAAGATATTACATCAAAATAAAAAAAAAGTTTTATCTCGTTTTACTGCAGTCACGTGACTTTCAGAACTTTTTATGCTTAAGGTCGAAGTTGTCAGACGTTTTGTGCGCTGGGAGATCTGCGCCTGCATAGTTAAGTGAAAGATTCATCATACAGTCTATTGCGTATCACATAGGTATTTAAATTATACAATAATCAAAGTACTGAAAGTACTGAACAGCGGTTAGCATGCTTTCATCTAATATGTACCGAAAAAAGTGCATGAAATGATATTTAAGTATGCATATCTTTGTCCAATGCCATCAGAGAAAAAAAAACAGACATTCTGTTTTTGTAATACTTTACTTAATAGTAAAACCAATAACATTCCAAACTGGTGTCACAGATGGATGCTATCTAATTAAAATCAGATGTTCCGAATCCGCTACTGCTTCTCAAACATCTAACAACATCCTATTTGGGGTCATGTAAGAGTGAATCTTCGATTAGCCAAAGAAAATGGTTCCTCCGAAATCTTGGCTTATAGTTCAGATGGGTTTCTTGTTTTCACCACCGAACCAAAACACCCGAGGAGTTTTGTAGTAAACAAAATATGTATTGCAAAAGTTGTGTTATACATGTATGATGTGTGGGGTATCTTGTATAGTTTGCGCTCTTTCGTTTGCATTATTCACGTTCAGATGCCAGACTGCAGACTATACATGAAATTTATTCCAAAATTACTTTAATTCAACGTAAGACAGTATCAATAATGATGATATGTAGCCGTGGAATTAATTTGAGAATTGTTTTCCGAGGCTTGAATCTACATAGCCAAAGTGTTTGTGTTTACTAGTACATGTATTCATAATCGAAAGGTCGCTCTGATGTGACCCCGAATGGGATGTTAGATGTTTGAGAAGCGGTAGCGGATTTGGAACATTTAAATAAATTTTAATTAGATTGAAATGCATGTTTCAAAATTCAAACATGAGATTTCTTCAGTTTGAAAGACAGGACGTGCATTTTTAAAACTTCTCTATTGGTGGTATCCAATCGTTCTCTGGATGAAAACAATTATGTTGATGTTGAAATTTTAATTGTCTTTCATGCTCTATTGAATCTGAAATTAGGTAATTGTAAAGCCTACTATAGCAGACAACTAAAAAAATGACAAGTTAAATTCTTTAGATTAATGGATTTGGAGTAGTGTAGATCTACAGCTGGCTAGTCAGAGAAAAAAGGATGGCTGAACAGAGACTTTGTAAATGAATTGATATCAGAGAGCTCAAGATGTGTAGGCTAACTGCGGTTTTTCTTCTTAAATCGATCATTGATCATTCTGTATTTTGATACAGATACTTCCGTTTAGAAATATTATGAACTACTACTTCTACGGGAAGACTGGCGAGTAAACAAGACTATCAAGCTTTATGATCAATCAATACTAGTATTTAAAAATTCAAATGTACACAAAAAGTCAGTGTAACTTAAGAAGTTATCAGTGTCATTTTCTATCAATGTGCCTCTAAACACCTGCATTTTAATTTAATTCTTCTCAAACGCTCAAAATAATAATCGACAAATTGGATAAATTCAAATTTAAAAAGTATTTTCACAGCTAATAATACGTTCCCTAGGAATTGATCAAATTTTCAAAACTTATAAATAAGCATTAGTATATACTTTAAATTTTTGCTAATTGCCAAGATTTTTCATACCTCATTCTTCTGTGAATAATAATGTCGGTTGATTTTTAGAAGAGGATCACAATGCCGATTAAGATTAATATATATTTGTCCATTTTTTTTTCAAAATTAATTTTACTACTTTAAGTGCCCCATTATTTTTTTTTCAAAACTAAGAGTAAGTGATCCCTTATGATCGTTTGTAATAAATTATCAAAGACGGGGTAGAGAATTTACCCCTGGAAGCAGAGCTTTTATAATCTGTTTATTAGACAGAGAAGAAAAGAGAAGAAAACAAACGTTTCATTGTGGAGGTAATCCTACTGTTTCCATAAAAACGTTACAAAAAGTGTAAACCTTACAGATGTATTCGGTGTTTTTATAACAGCGTTTTTCAGGTATTATTTAACTTAATAAATGGTGTTCTTAATACTTTGGCAAGGAAAATCAAACTCGATCGAGAGATTTGCTGATGTTTTTGCAGTCTGTAATAACCTTCAACCTGCTATATAATTAACCGTATCGTTCAACTTTCAAAAATAAACTAACAGTTGCTATAAATCACGATCGCAAGATGTACATGTAATAAGGACCAAATTCTCAGTTCTTTGAAGTTATTGTTCTAAGTATTGTCAATGCTTTGGTAAATACTTAAATAAGAATTCGATATAATCGTTATAATAGCCACTCTTCATACACAGCATATTGTCAATCTCTCACCAGGGGGCGTATTACGCCAACAGTATACAAATCATTGGAAGCGCTTTGCGGAAGTTACCGTTGTCGATAGGTAGCGCCTTGTGGAAATTTCCGGTTTTGGTTGCAGAAGGATAAGGTTACGTGCCATAAAGCGATGTCGATAGGTAGCGCCTTATGGAAGTTTCCGGTTTTTTGGAGCCCATGCCATAAAGCGGTTAGCTAGCTAACCGCTAAATAAAACGATAACTTTTTTGCTCAAATGACTTTTATGATGTACATGTATTGTTTATTTATTTATTAATTGTTTATTGCGTTTATTTCAAAATTCATAAAGCTTGCTTTTAATGCATGTGTGTATTACGCATGGTATATAAACGTATTACAGAGAATTATTAAAGCAATACGAGCTGCATTAAAATATTTTGCTGTTAATATGTGTTATCATACATGACCAATTAGAATAAAATAAAGCAGAAAAAGACTTCTATGTAAAATCCAATATACAGTAAACTGTTTTATATAAGAAATTATTATCGTACTGGACGACAATATGCATTTTTGATTCAATTGAAGCTTATTAATCATTAGTTCTTCCATCGCAAATATGAACTACAGAAGTTCATTAAGGTTATTTTTGTCTGTCATTGAAATAGTTATTTACAATTTTGAAACAAATAATTCCGACATCAAAGTTGCAGCCCATATTGCTTTAAAATCAGATGGAAGGAATATTTCAGATATATTAAAGACATGCATATGGGTACTTGGACACAGATTTGAAGTTAATATTTTATCTATAATATTACGACTTATATATTTTGATAGCATTGCACACATAAATTAAAAATCTTATTTCATTTAAAAGTTATTAAAACTTTTTTTGGCGGATTTGATTGACACATCCTTGCACGTTCACAAATTTTAACTTTATTCTTAATACTTAGAAAAAGTGGCAATCTTATTGTGTATATAAATATTCTCATAAATTATATTAATTGCACTAATTTATCGTGTATACCATAGGGAAAATCCTTTATAAAAGGGGGGTTGTCCTGTTCTTTACCTGTGAGTATTACATGCATTTAGGTGGGTACAAAGATTAAATGCTTATAAAAGCGGAAGTAATGATTTTAGTATTTTGCTGTTTTAAATTATGCTTTTATTTTTTTTGTATCACTATAAATTACCTTTCCTTTTCTTTTTTTCTTGAATCTGTAAAATTAGAATATTAAATGGATTTAAATTTATATGATAGTAATCAAGTGTATCTCTTAAGAAATTTAATTGTGATAAAGCTATAAAATGTATATAGATATATGTCGTCTTCATTTGGAAAAATTGTTTACCGTAATCGTCTGTGATTTTCTTTATTGCATTTTCAGTTAATTCATGCCCAGTGACATTCGGGATTGTTCTCTCTTCTGAAAATTGCAAGCCGACAATGTAAAGGAAACATGAAAAATAATTATACATGTACGTGATACAATGTTTTTAATTAAATATTATCCTTTTATTTCTTTCTGATGAAATTAATCCTATTTCTTTTTGTTTTCAGTTTGGCTGTAGAACCTCTCGGAAAAATTAACGGAATTTTTAAAATTATTATTACATGTAATTAGAACAAATTTGTTTATTCAGTTTAAAATAAATTGCTTGTTGTCCACAACATATACGATATAAAGTAATTTTTTAATCCCCCCCCCCAAAGTACAGCGTTACAACTAGAATTAAATTATTGATTAATGTAAATATATTATATTACATTTATTATTGGGAAATTTAGAATTAATTTTAGTTTTTGTAGGCATGTCGTTCAAATTATTACAGTGGAGTATTTACTTTCGCCACATTGGAGGATTTTTAAGATTAGATTTTTGTATATAAAGAAAACTATTTCATGACGTCATACATGTAAGACGAAGGTCTACGTCAATAATAGTTATGATGCCAGTAACAAGTCTTAATAAAATTTAAACTGGCCTCAACGCTTTCCTTTCTGATTTTGATCCTCCGTAATTCAGACGAAGATTTTCAAAACACTTCTTTTTTCTTAGGAATCTACTCTGACCATCTTCAGTCAAAATGTCTGAAAGCAAAGCTGTGAATCAAGATAACAAATGTAATCTTATGTTCCGGAGAAGTTTGTTAAAGAAATCTTGTACTTTGTCAACATTCATTTAAGTTGTGCCAATGACCACTAAAATCTACTATTAGTAAATTTCGTACCTAATAATGTAAAGGTTTTCTGTACTTCAAAATTTGATTTATTAATAATTGGATAAAAAATGCTATTCAATATTAATCACAAACAGGAAATTAAAATTTTAGACTTGAAACAACATACTCCGAATCAAATGTAAGGTAAATCACTTTGATTTATTCACAAGAAGACGATTGATCGCCCCTAAAAACATAGCATTCAGAAATTACTTTGATTAACAAATTTAATGTCATCATCGAAGCATAGTTTCGAGTAAATGATTTCATTTCATATAGCTGCTGTATTTAATAAAAGACTAATATGATAACACAAATGATATAAATCTACTTTCGTGTGGCTCCAAACAAACCCGAATTTAAGTCTTATTTTCCTTATCAAATAAATCCATATTCAATCCATATTTTATCCCATCCAAAGCCCGAAGACATCTAGTTTTAGGATAGAGAACCTCCAATATAGTTTGTTTGCATATTTATGAACTGTAATGATATAGGCGCTAAATATTTGGTATCCAATATATTAATTTTTGATTGAATATCATTCTTACCAGCTACCTTTTTTTCTATTTTGTAGGTAAACTTACACGCAAATATGATCTGATGTTCTAAATGAAAAAAAGTTGTGATCAATAAAATTGCATCTTCTGTATGAAAATTTGGATTTCAGAAAATTACCTCTATTGTTCACTTGTTTCATTTTTCGACCAAGTATGCCCAACACAAGTGATAGCAGAAGAAACAGTACACCACAGGTAACCACAAAAATTATTAATAAACTGTAACAGATGGAAAGTGTCATTCACATTTGATTTTTTACTGATTACTCTTTTCTTTCATGTTTAACGAAGCAGAATTCTATAGCAAGGATAAAATCTTAAATTTAATTGAAACTTGCTATAGTAATGTTTTCACAACTTCTATCTCCTTTTCAAAGATTAAACTCACACACTCCAGTTGCAATCTCTTGTCAAATAGGCCGTGCATTTATTTCCATCATGTTTAACTACATGTAACTTGCTACAACCCACATCTATAAAGTATAAAGCAATGAAAGTTTATAATCAAAGTACTGAAAGTACTGAAAAGCGGTTAGCATGCTTTCATGGAATATGACTGTACAGTGTAGAATAACAAAAAATAGATAGAGTGATGGTATTAAAGTAAGTATGCATATCTTTGTCCAATGTCATCAGCGAAGAAGCAGACACACTGACTTTTGTAGTACTTAACTAAATGGAAAAAACCAATAAAATCCCAGACTGATGTCACAAATGTATGTTTCAAAATATCAACCTAAGATTTTCAGTTTGAAAGACAGGAAGTTCAATTACAAAAATTTCTTCCAAAAGTGCTCAGAACGAAAAAAATATGTTGATGTTGCAAATTTAATTGTCTTTCATGCTCTATTGATTCTGAAATTAGGTATCTGTAAAGGCTACTATAGTAAACAACTCAAAACGAATATAAAATGATAATTCAATTTTTTTTAGATTAATTTATTTGGAGTACTGTACATAGATCTTTAGCTGGCTAGTCTGAGAAAAACGGATGGACGAGCAGAGAATTTGTAAATCAATTTGATTCAGAGATCTTCAGTTTCGTAGGCTCGCTGCGGGTCAGCAGGTGTGACCTGTCATTGGGGATGCTTACTTCTCCTAGGCACCGGAACTTTCAAGTATCCGTTTTTCTTTTGAGACCGATCACTGTTCAATCTGTATTTTGATACAGATACTGAGTACATCTGTTTATTAATATTATGAACTATTTCTCTCACAGGAAGAAAGACAAGTAAACAAGATAATAAAGTTTTTAGAAATGTACACTATTGACTTTTAATACAATTAAATGTTCGAATAAGTAAATGGTATATGACAATTATTTAAAAAAGAGTTTGTAATAATTAGACTGAGTACAGAATTTATCCCTGGAAACTAAGCTTTCATCATCTTTTAAATAATTTCAATTGAGAAAAAAAGGAGAAGAAAACAAACGTTTTATTATAATGGAAGTAATCCATAACTGTACAACTTACAGATGTTTTCAGTTTTTTTATGTAAAGGCTTTCTTCATGTACTAGTATTACTTAAGTTAATTAAAGGGATGCCTTAATATTTTAGCAAGGAAAATGAAACTCGATCGAGAGATTCTCTGATGTTTTGCAGTCTGTAATAAACTTCAACCCCTTTAGCCAGTAATTAACCCGTCCTCCATTTGCCAGTATCATAATTCGGTCAAATATTTATTGTTCATGAGGGGTGCCTTATAATTAATCACAGGCATCTGAATTTTTATCAGCAAGTCTCTAAATTAGCCAAATATCGAAACATTCTACCCCCTCTATATACAGTTTAAATACACAAGGTGTGCAACGCCATTTTGACCCCCTGTTCGATTCAGGCTTCAATTTAACACATAAATCGGATATGCCTACTGGTTTTCGTGTAGCTTTGAGTTCAAATATGATATTTCTCGCTATATATTTCTTCCTTAAGTTTAAATCCAACGCGTTGATAATGTTATCAGCTAAACTTCATGCTGACTTCGAATTTCGTCACAGGGCCCCTTCGCTATCAACTGACGTCACGGAAATTTAATCTCGACACCAAATGCTCCTATACATAAACTTTTTAAATACAACAATTATAAATTTATTTCATTGACAAACAAAATCAGAAAAAATTAAAAACCGAAAGATTATGTTGTTTTGATAGTCTTGATTTTATTTAACATATGTTACATGTGTTAAAAACAAATCATAGGTAGAGGCTTTGTTGAAGTTCTGTTGTCGATAGGTAGCGCCTTATGGAAGTTTCCGGTGTCGATACATGCCATAAAGCGGCTAGCGAAGCTAACCGCTTAAAAATTGATCTTTATTCATTAGGGGAAAATGAACAACACGGAATATTGATACTATTAAAATTAACCATACGCGGTTGTAAGACCACTTAAACTCATTAAATACATATCTGATTAAAGGTCAATGTATATTTAACCACAAGGGTTCCTAAGGTATAGGAAGGGGTTTAATACAATATACATGTAGGTTGCAAGCAATGACAGACGTTAAAACCATGCAGAGTTCATCTTTTCACTCAATTAGTAAACACAGAAAGTAAGTGACTTTTACGGCGGACTGGGTACATTTATCTGTGTTTTTAACAGCTGATATTTTTGATCGTAAGTTAGCTTATGGAGAGGAAACCAATGTAGTATTAATATTATTGACAAATACATTATGTACATAATTTTTCATTTATAATTTCAAAATATTCAAACAGGGAGGATGTAGAACTTAAGAAATATTAGAAATCGAACTTTAATTTATTCTTATAATTTGCAAAAACATACCATATTAACAGAAAGAGGGACCAGTCATCGGAAATTTATTTCCTCACATATTCCAAAGAAAATAATCATTTTCCGTTCAGATTAAAAATAGTTTCTCTTTAACACCAGGTACATATTCCAGGAATTCAGAAAGAATAAGTGCCTTTACGTCATAGATACCAACATAAACACACAATTTTAATAGTGTCACAACTGTCAAAAAGGACAACATAATGATTCCCGAAATTATTGAGGATTTTTGTAAGGGTATATCTAAAAAATACTACTGTTTGTACATGAGAGTACGTCTGCACTTCCAAATCTCTTTGGGCAGCCTTTTGGTACACAGTTGATGTTGTTCAGTTCTTCAATTCTTCTTCCATGCTTGTCAAATTTTAGATAGTGTCCTAAATTCATAGGAATATATATAGAATAGATCAAAGTCAAAAGAGTCTAAAAAGAAAAAAATATATACAGTTCACAATTAAAAACGTTTATCTTACAATTATCAACATTAAGGCCTATTTTTCTTCTTCTTTATTGTTACTTTAAGCTTTACAGCTTATCAGTATATACAAACTAATGCAATCAGTTTCAATACAGTACAGAAGTGGATAATTTACAGGAGAACAATGCGTACGTACATAAATAATAATGAATAAAAAAGAAAAAAATACAATAATTATTATATATACATTACAAGATCACTTCTTCGCCTCAAGCTACAAAAAATATATTTACCAAAGTTACACATAATCCTTATAGTTCTCAGTATTAAACAATTGCAATAATTTGAACATGGATTTTTTTTAATGAAATATTTTTTAAATAAAAAAATTCGATAATCTGCATAAACAGGGCATACCAGTAAAAAATGAAATTCGTCCTCGACACAATTATGACAAGCAAAACATTTCCTTTGCGATTTCTTAGTTTTATTTTATCTCCCAGTTTCAATTGCTATAACAGGTGTTCGTCAGGTCATGTTCATGTTGCAGTAGGTTGTGTATCTGGTAGGTGTGTTCCCATTTTGCACATATTTGATAATCCAGTATAGAGCAATAGGTATGAAATGTTTATTGATAAACATTATAGTCTGATTTATGGTTAGAATGAAGTTTTTATTCTGTGAATTTGCATGTTTTACGGTGTGTGCACATATCAAGGATATAAATCTACAACGTGTTTACTAACGCAGTATCTTTATATCCTCAGTTATTTAATGCATTTTCATTCCTAAATGCACTTTGAGTTTATTGTGAAGAATTTCCGTGAAAATTTTGCGACCTTGATCATAGCGGAAATAAGGCAGAGTTATTTTGAGAGAAAAAAAGATTATTGCGTCTAGTTTGCCTTCTCTCTCTCTCTCATTCAAAATGAATAAATTGTTATCCAAATGTTTACCCTGGGAATAGATTGCAGGAGCACATACTTCATAAGTTTCATTTTCAAAGTCATTAATCACACAATGATACGTGAAATTTCCTGGTGGAACACAATTTTGAATATCTGCAAGGCTCTTGCAATCTTTTCTTTTTATAGCCTCTTCTAATTCCACTTTGGTGGTAGGACACTTTGAAACCAATTGCAGAGTTGGAAGAGAAACATTGCAACCTGTTAATAGTACCTCACTGATCTAAAAAAAAGGTGAAAAGAATTATGTATTCAATGACATTTATAAAATAAGAGAGGTATTTCTGAAACGTATGTATGTTAAATTTGGGTTACCTTTGTCATGGGGACTAAATACCAGGTTGCAATTGTTACTTGGAAACACCGCTTTTTTCACATAACTGTGAAAAAAGATGCATATTAGCAAGTTAATTGTGTTGTCACCAATTAATGTTCTTTGACATGATTGTTTTAAGTCCTAACTTAAATGGATAAGGTTCTCGCTAAAGTTCTTTGTTTCTAGTTTCCTATTTTTGATCAAATTAAATTTAAAATAGACAAGAGAAGAATGATCTCAAATAGAAACACTTTACACTTCCAAATAAGATTTAGTTCGGGCGAGTGTACTTTTACATGTATTCACACATCATGTCTCTGCAAAAAAGAAATATTTTCTTCATTTACATACTTCATTACATGTAGTAAGCTTGATCATTAAGCAGTAAGAGATCGTTACTGTGCATTTTTGCAGTGAATAACCCTCCCCCTTTTCTCCAACCCGCCTAATTAGGAAAGGACAAGTCTTATTTAAGGCTTATCTGTGGTCCCCGGATACTCGTCAAATATCGAACATTTATCAAAGGCTTTAAAAACTAAATATTATGAATAACTAATGTCTTTATTATTTGAATCTTCATCTAAAAATGTCAAATAATAGATATACGCAGCACACAAAGCTGCGTTTTGAAGTTGGGGTAAAAGAAATCATTGACAGGTACACTTTCACGCTTTCGTAAACACCGGGCACAGGTTAGTTCAGAGTCAAGTTTGATATATAATGGGTATAGTATATGTGTAAAGGTTGAGTAAAAATATCTTTGTTGAACAACCTTGTGCTCTATGTTTTCTAATTTAAAGTATTGTGATTTTGAACCTCGTCGCTGTCTTCATTTACATGCGATTAACCTCTTTATGACCTGTTTCGAATCACAATAAGCCACGTGGATTTGTGTCGTTACAGGTAAATGCCCACAGTAATCGTGCTAGCAAGCACTCAGTTGAAATGTACTCAGTCGATCATGTATCGGTCAGCATATGGACTTGTTTGGTTATACTTGATATAGTGGTTCATTCATATTGCGAGAGTTTTGTGAATAGAAAATTGTATTTGTTGTTGACTATGAATCTTGAACATATAATTCGTCTTTGAAAGGAAAATATTATATATCAGGGATATTCTTTTTATATAGTATCTAGTATCTAATCTAAATGTCTCCGCCCATTTACATGTAACAGAAAAACCGTAGTCTGATTGAGGGGAAAAGTTCCGGCATTTTTTTTAGCGCGATAGGTGTTAAAAATTGGCTTGTATTTTTTGATACATGTATGTTTAATAATTCATTATGAATTCACAACGATTTAATTAGAAATAATTTGTTTTACACAATGAAATCAAACAAAATACCCATTGCTACTATCTATCCAGTAAACCAAGGGTGTAAAAAGGGACCATGCTACTATACTTAAGTGGAATACTCCTTTGTTTTTAAAAAACTCTACCTTTTGGGACTGTTTCATCTTTGAAAAGCAATGTCATTTAGAAGAAAAGCTTAAAATGAAGAGTAAAAATATGAGCCTCTCAGCGAGTAATATGGAGACAATGAATAGTATTCAAACTCAAAATTTCATTTGAATGAATTAAATACAATTTGGCCTGTTATTTGTTAATTTATGGCCCTAGAAGCGTCCAACCGAATTTTAAATCCTTCGAAATCACCTCCGGTCTGACATCACTTCTGGTAAAACTGAAATTAGCCAGAAATAGGTTATTTTGCAGGTTTTTACATAAAATTATCTTTTTTTTTTTACAGTAACTGGAGACATTTTAGTTCATTGCTTTCTCTTGTTGACGTAAATTCCGGTCAAAACAGGACAGAAGACCTACTCGTTGCTTTGTAACGAGATTTATTCTAGTTTTGTCTCTGTTTGTTAAAATCGTTTCAATCATTTTCTTATAATTAATTTTTCAGTTTTAATATACGTTAAGCAGGGACGGTCATGCACATGTACATGTATGTATTAAGTTCAGAATATATGTTCTCAGAATTGATTGCAAATAATTAATCAAAGTAATCAGAAGTACACAGAGCCGGGCTCATTTACAGAGTAGAATGGATTTCTTACATGAATCACGTTTATATTCTGATGAAAAAATTATTTTAAAACTATCAATATAAATGAGAAGACACTGACAGTGAGTTTTTCAATCCTAATACCACGGTCCGATTTTGTCAGAATCAGAATTAATCTGGTACCGCAGCTGAATGTAAACAAACAGGTCAGCCTGGTTCCCTCTCCTGCTTTACCTCGTATGTGTAGAGAACTACGGTAACACTGATTATCAAAAATCCTTACGCTAATGAACTATGTTCTTTGGCTTATGAAGTTTTCAACGTCATTACCACTAATATTTATTTTACATAGATAAAACTTCGTTTTATTTTTGTTGCTTTATTTAGCGTTTGTATTATCTCAAAAGCGGGGTTGAGAGTAAGAACTATATTTTTGCACGTAACTTTAAAATGGCGACTATGGGGTCAACATCCTGCCTCGAACAGGATCACATAAGCCGGCAATTGCTCTTTGAGCAATAAGCCCGGCTTAAAATGGCGAAGTGCAGGGGCCGAACGACCCACCATTTTCATAACAATTACATTTATAGTATTCTCTTTAGGGAAAGTAAATTTTTGGTTAGAATCTGCAAATTATGCAACAAAACCATAGAAATGTAAATTATTTTCTTTTATAACGCTAAATAAATTTGATTCTCATTAATGAAGATTCCGTTATTGTCTACATTCGCCTGCAAAAAGTTAATTTAATTTTCTCTTCTTCCTTTAATTTCCGCTCACAAATCCAAATTCCTGTGCGCTTTTTTCGGTTTATAAAATTAAAAGATACCATCTTGATTTAAAAAGTGAAAAGTATGCCGTAGTTGTGAGGTGTGTGAACCTGCAGGTTACCGGAAGTGTGACATCGTCTGCTCTTCTATATAAAGCTGTTTGTTCGAGAACGGCAACAAACAAACCTGAGCTGTCGTTTGCAGAAAAAAGGCAATTGGTGTGTTTCATAAAGCGGGTGTCAAGGATTTAGAGATAGCTAGCAAATGGGACACCCACTAACAGCTGTGTATGGTGTTTGAGAGCTTTGAAAGAGAAGGGAGCATAGAAAACCAAAACCGAAGTGGGAGACCGTCTTTTTTGTCAAAGAGGGATAACCGGAAACTTGGAACTGTTGGAAAATGAAACAGAAAGCGTCCAATATAAGAAATAACCTCAATTTTTAATAAATTCAGAGCTCAAACTGTGTCAAAATGGACAATTCAGAGACACATATATGAGTAAGAATTTCATAAGTGATTTGTAAAAAAGAATATCCAAATTCGTGCAGAAAATGTGAACAAGCGACGTTTGTGCTGCAAACTGAATAGAGAGAAGACTGTAAATGAACACTGGAAGTAAGTTTTCTTTAGTGACGAACATAAGGGAAATGGATTACATGTATATGGATAAACGTGTTCCTATTTTGAGACGGCCGGGAGAAGAAAGGGCACCCATGTGCTTGAGTCCCAGTCATGGTGCACGCACAAGTCTAATGATTTGAGGTTGCATTACCTACAAAATATGAGAACAGTTGTAAATAGTAAAACTTATGCTGCATATTATATCAATGAGGTTTTTAACAGTTACGTCTGGGCAGTAATTGATCGCCGTTTTCCAGGTAATATATTCAAAGATGGCATTGCTCCCGTCCACCAAGCCAAAAATATCAAAGAATACATGGAAGAAAACCATAAAAACTGCATGGCATGTCCAGCCAATAGTCTAGACATTAATATTACTGAAAATGTCTGGCGAAAATTAAAATTGAACTGCAAAAAAAAAGAATGAAAGAAAACAGGCCCACACCATTGCGAGCGTTGCGGTACTAGAGGATGAGGCGATTCGGAATATCTGGGAAGACATCGACAAACATTTCATCAGAAACTTATTCCATTCTATCCCAAAGTGAATCCAGGCTAATATTAAAACTGATTGAAAAATAACAAATTATAAGGTTAGGTCATTTATTTACAATTTTTTAAAGAGATAAAATCTTCAGCTTGATACATTTCTGAAGACAACTGCCATCTTCGAATTATCTTCACTTTTGAAGACTAAGATTAATGATGATATGGTACTCATTCGGTACAAATATAATTCATGTACAAATGTATTCGAAAAATCAGTAAAATATTTCTTGGAATAGACATGCCTAGGGTCCTGGGTTTAGGATACTCTCTACACCAGCGCAAAATTTTTTTTGAACATTGAGAAAATTATATTTGTTGAGATGTGGGTTATACACTTTAAGAACTTGAATAAATGAAGGAAACAAAACAAATGAAATTTTAACAAAATTTAATAAACAAAACAAAAGTAAAAATTTTTACAAAAAATAAAAAATAAAATAATAATAAAAAAAATAAACAAATTAAAAAAAAATAATACAAATGAATTGTCTATCAGCAGCACGTCAGTCCTGGGAGACTGTTCTTTAAAACGTAGTAAATTAATCACCACACCCTTGCTAAAGATTTGATTTCTGGTTTTGAATTTCCTCTGATAAACGTGTTTTCTTTCACAAATTAAATTGAATATAGCTTTCACAATTATCACATATTTGAAAGTTTTTAAACTTTCACAATGCCGTCTCGAATAACTTTGGATTGAATTGATATTATTTCAAAAAGGTGAATTCTTAATTTAATATCACCACATAGCTTGAAATTGCTGGTCCCGAGGTGTCCGTCAGGCTGCCGTACTCTGTCGTACTCTCTCTCTCACATATGCGGTAGTAACTGCACAAGCAATGCAAGCCTCTCCCTCTCACCCTGGACTGACTATTGTCAGTGTAATAAGTTGTAGTACCCCGCCCAATAAAGGGTTTTATTTTGAGCTTTTCTATTTATTTTCAATATATACGAGGGCTATTCATTAAATAGTGAATAGTAAACCTTTTCAGTAAAATCAGAAATATTATATTATTCTTTTCTTTTTTAGTAACATTCCTTCAAACTAATTTCCTTTTACTTCAAAACATCTTTGAAGTCGTTTTATCAAGCTTTGGTACACGCCTCTTTACTCCGAAAGAGGTATACTTTTTAG